GACTTTTTTTTTTTTTCTCCACAAATATGTAATTAAATGTTTGATCATGCGGTGTATTTTTATTTTTACAATGGGGCAATTGTTGAGTGTGCTCTCTCTGGAGAGCGCACGAGTGCTGAATGGTTTAAATACCTGCATGGTTTAAATAAAAACAGTAACATTTAATAAACAAGTCCTGCCAGCATTACAAAATTCAACAGCACAACTGCATACATCATAAATACAATAAAGGCTTACAAGAGCAATAATAAGAGCAAGTCATAAGAAAGCCTGGGTAAAAAGATAAGTCTTGAGACGAGATTTAAAAGTATGAAGGCTGTCACTGTTCCGTATATTGGGGGGGGAGAGAGTTCCATAGGCGAGGGGCCGCAAAACTAAAAGTTCTTGCTCCCATGGTGCTTAAACGTACACGCGGCGGCGACACAAGAGAGATCGAGTGTGAAGATCTGAGAGTGCGAGAAGGAGTATAGATGTGGAGAAGCTCAGTAAGATACGGTGGAGCAAGGTTGTGAAGTGCCTTAAATGTGAGAAGCAACATTTTTAAATCAATGCGATACTTTACTGGAAGCCAGTGTAAACGTTGGAGAACTGGAGAAATGTGCTCTAATGATGAAGTCCTAGAAAGAACACGAGCTGCTGAGTTCTGCTGAGATCGCATAGAAAGAATGGTACTTTATCTTTCATCAGAAGAGAAAAATTACCTTTTTTCCCTTGCGCGTTGTTTAGTAGCAGAGCATCAGTCTCATCATATGGAGCTAATTAGAGAGCGCACGAGAGATGTGAATCTGGAGGATGTTTAAGTTGGGCTGAGAGATTCCAGCGCTGGTAAACGGAGTATGAGACCACACCCCGGGACATAAGACGCTGCTCGAAGAGCACTGGAACGTGGGCAGGGACTTCAAGGGTCATTATGTCATTTCCTCTGTTCAGAGCCAACGCTGCCTCGGTATCCATACACAGGCTGCTTCACACTGCTCACTTCGACCGGCAGATGAACTTAACTGCCAAGCACGCTGGCAAACCGTAGGACATCACCTTAAACGTGGGGTGTATAAGCCCAGTTATCAGAACGACTGCGTCCTCTACTGGATGAGAAGGGCTTGGGCTTCATTTCAGAGACAAAAGAAAGCATTGTTGTAAAGAAGGTCATTGTTTTTCTGAGAGAAACAGAAAGGCACGTTTTCTGTGGGGAGAGAAATGTTTGATAAGATATTAGTAGCTATACATATTGCATGAATTACACTGAACAAAATTATAAACGCAACACTTTTGTTTTTGCCCTCATTTTTCATGAGATATGCAAAAACCTTAGACAATAATACATTTGAGTGTAAATGATCATACATTTTGAACCATAAATTTGTATGTTTATTTAACACCATACAGTTAATCTATCTGCAAAATGGGGGCAACAACAAAAGTGTTGCGTTTATAATTTTGTTCAGTGTGTTTTGTTTGCAGTAGAGAAAGAATTGACATCTTTGTTCCTAAAAAAAAAAAAACTCACATGACAGCTGTCTGAATTTGTATTCGGGCACAATGATGGCCTAAATATTAGTACAGAGGTGCAGCCTTGCGAAATACATCATATTTGTCAGGATCCAGTATTTTTTCTTTTGTTTATTGAATAGACAATAGTTCTTAAAAGTATAGTTCACCCAAAAATTTAAATTCTGGCATAATTTTCTCACCCTCATGTCATTATGAACCTGTATGACTTTCTGTCTTCTGTAGAACACAAAAGATAATATCAAAATATGATATTGTAAAATGTCTCTGTTCTTTTGTCCATATTCTAATGTTGTCCAGTGTAGTTTTGGACCCTACTTACTTTCATTCCATATGCAAAAACCTTAGACAATAATACATTTGAGTGTAAATGATCATACATTTTGAACCATAAATTTGTATGTTTATTTAATACCATACAGTTAATCTATCTGCAAATGTTCCTGAAACAAAGATTCAACCATCAGCAGCATCAAATTGTTATACAAAGAAGCAGGTTCTGCCCTCCACAGATTGGACAATGATTGAGGTCCACTTTCCACTCAAAGCTCTCAGCTTTACTTTAATTTCTAGTGACATTAAGAGAGGCTCTCCACCAGCATCAAAAGACCTGCTATGACATGAAAATACATAATTTATTCAGTGATCCACAAACCATGTAGAAAGGCCATTCAAGTATGACACTCGCTACGAAAATAGTAACCTCTTCACTAGAAGGGAAATGAAATCTGTTTTTGCCTTCCATTATTCTGGAAAATAGACTATTCAAACTAAATTGGCTGTTTATGAAAATAGCACAAGCTATTAAATTCACAATACCCTTCACATGTTGCATCCAAATTAAAAACATGTATTGTAGGTGGAAAAGCAGAGGGGGTGAAGAAAGGACTGATGAAAATCTGAAAATGCTCATCTCTGCCAGCGTTGAGATCAATTTGTGGTTGATAGTTTTAAATGAACCCTCTGGAGAAATATGATGTTTACCAAGGATGCCCTAGCTGATGTAAGTAGTTACTGAGGTTATCTGAAGCCTGATGGGACGGAACCACTCAGCAGAGGAAAGCTGAAGATCAGGGAATAGTCTTATGAGAAGATATATTGAAATGCATGTGGTGCATGTTAAAAAGCTCAGAATTGTCAAATGATACAATTATCCTTATTATTATCCTTATCCAAATACAGGTGCATCTCAATAAATTAGAATGTAAAGGAAAAGTTCATTTATTTCAGTAATTCGACTCAAATTGTGAAACTCGTGTATTAAATAAATTCAATTCACACAGACTGAAGTAGTTTAAGTCTTTGGTTCTTTTAATTGTGATGATTTTGGCTCACATTTAACAAAAACCCACCAATTCACTATCTCAACAAATTAGAATACTTCATAAGACCAATAAAAAAAACATTTTTAGTGAATTGTTGGCCTTCTGGAAAGTATGTTCATTTACTGTACATGTACTCAATACTTGGTAGGGGCTCCTTTTGCTTTAATTACTGCCTCAATTCGGCGTGGCATGGAGGTGATCAGTTTGTGGCACTGCTGAGGTGGTATGGAAGCCCAGGTTTCTTTGACAGTGGCCTTCAGCTCATCTACATTTTTTGGTCTCTTGTTTCTCATTTTCCTCTTGACAATACACCATAGATTCTCTATGGGGTTCAGGTCTGGTGAGTTTGCTGGCCAGTCAAGCACACCAACACCATGGTCATTTAACCAACTTCTGGTGCTTTTGGCAGTGTGGGCAGGTGCCAAATCCTGCTGGAAAATGAAATCAGCATCTTCAAAAAGCTGGTCAGCAGAAGGAAGCATGAAGTGCTCCAAAATTTCTTGGTAAACGGGTGCAGTGACGTTGGTTTTCAAAAAACACAATGGACCAACACCAGCAGATGACATTGCACCCCAAATCATCACAGACTGTGGAAACTTAACACTGGACTTCAAGCAACTTGGGCTATGAGCTTCTCCACCCTTCCTCCAGACTCTAGGACCTTGGTTTCCAAATGAAATACAAAACTTGCTCTCATCTGAAAAGAGGACTTTGGACCACTGGGCAACAGTCCAGTTCTTCTTCTCCTTAGCCCAGGTAAGACGCCTCTGACGTTGTTTGTGGTTCAGGAGTGGCTTAACAAGAGGAATATGACAACTGTAGCCAAATTCCTTGACACGTCTGTGTGTGGTGGCTCTTGATGCCTTGACCCCAGCCTCAGTCCATTCCTTGTGAAGTTCACTCAAATTCTTGAATCGATTTTGCTTGACAATCCTCATAAGGCTGCGGTTCTCTCGGTTGGTTGTGCATCTTTTTCTTCCACACTTTTTCCTTCCACTCAACTTTCTGTTAACATGCTTGGATACAGCACTCTGTGAACAGCCAGCTTCTTTGGCAATGAATGTTTGTGGCTTACCCTCCTTGTGAAGGGTGTCAATGACTGTCTTCTGGACAACTGTAAGATCAGCAGTCTTCCCCATGATTGTGTTGCCTAGTGAACCAAACTGAGAGACCATTTTGAAGGCTCAGGAAACCTTTGCAGGTGTTTTGAGTTGATTAGCTGATTGGCATGTCGCCATATTCTAATTTGTTGAGATAGTGAATTGGTGGGTTTTTGTTAAATGTGAGCCAAAATCATCACAATTAAAAGAACCAAAGACTTAAACTACTTCAGTCTGTGTGCATTGAATTTATTTAATACACGAGTTTCACAATTTGAGTTGAATTACTGAAATAAATTTTTTTTACACAACATTCTAATTTATTGAGATGCAACTGTATTACACTAATATTTATCCCTTTGTATGAAGCAAGACATGATTTATTTAACAGTGAATCACTGCAATTAAATCTCTTACATGAGTCTTTTTTTTATTTTTATTTTTTACAATAGCCTATACAAAGATACAACATAAAAATGAAAGCAATATTTTGGATAAAAAAATTTAATGGTAGGCCTATTATTTGAGCCATAATGTGTTGGAAAAGAGCAGTAAATCTGTTATTTTTATTTTTAGATATTTTGTTAAGTAGTATAATGTGATAATTGAGCTTTTTTTGCCCATTGTGCCTCTAAAGTATATAAAAAATATACATTATATATTATTATTTATATTATACAATATATATATTATATATTAATAAAAAATACTTTAAGAAATGTAAAAAAAAATACATAAACGTTTGTATAAACAAGACAACAACGTAAAGTAATTTATTGGAGAAAATTACATTCATAAACATGTATATAAACAAGACAACGTAAAATATTTGCTTATGAATACAGTTGCAATTTCTTAAAACATTATTGATTAGCACAAATGGACCCTCTTACACAACTGCGTTTTTTAAAAGTTTAAATAATATTTTCTTAATCGTCCAAAATATAAGTACTCATTTGATATCGCAGCGTAAATTAGGACAGCATTACTAACAGCGGTTCATGCTCCTCACGCGCTATTGGCTGAGAGGAATTTCCGTCTGATGCCGGAAATGGACGTGGCAAGATGACAAAGTCCTGATGCGCTTCCTGTTTTAACTCTCTAGTCAAACTATCAGCAGTCAGTTGGCTATTAGATCTCACCGATTACCTGTAGTAACCGTGTTTCTGACCCTTCTCCTCCAGCTGTCTCTCTCTAATGTCCCGATAGCGCTTTTGGAGGCTCATCAGGGGCGATGCGGGCGTTTTGGCGTTGGTTTTTGGGGCTGATTTGGGTCGGAGTGTCTGCAAATCGTGCAGGATCTCCTGTGTTTTCTGATGAAATCCCCTTCAAAATCAAATGGCCCGGGGCAGACTTCACCCTGGTGAGTCTTGACATCTAATAAACCCAGACGTTTCGCACGACAGCTGTAAATACAAACGTGTTTATTTAGTTGTCAGCTTGTTGGCTGAGGTCGCTTCATAACAGCTGGATGTGTCTTGTTTTGTTTTGAGCTGTCTTGTAGTGTTAATATTCTCTCTAACAGCATTATGAAGTATTAAAGTACAAAAATAGCAAGTAGAGCTGTTTAGTTTGTCTCTCTGGATCTCATGGATTTGTCAGTTGTTGTTTGCTTCTGCAGAAGTTAAAGGGGTCATATGATGTTGCTAAAAATAATATTATTTGGTGTTATGAAATGTTTATGCGGGTTAAGGTAAAAAAAACACATTATTTTCCACATACTGTACATTATTGTTTCTCATCTATGCCCCGCCTTTCTGAAACACGTCGATTTTTACAAAGCTCATCGTTCTGAAAAGCGAGGTGTGCTCTGATTGGCCAGCTATCCAGTGGGTTGTGATTGGCCGAATACCTCAAGCGTGTGACGGAAATGTTATGCCCCTTACCATACTGTGATGCCCTGTCAGGCCGGAGCGACGAGACAAAAACATTAAAACCCATTATAAACGAGGCATTTATTGCATCCAGTGGGAACATAATTACTGATTATAATGACTTAAACTTTTTACGAGTTGCGTTGCATCGCGCCACGTAAACATAACATTTAGGGTGACCATACGTGCCATTTTCCCAGGACGCGTCCTGGCCAGGATTTCTATATTGCCTAAAATATCTAAGTTTTGGCTTTGTTTGTGTGTGCAGAACGATCGGTGTATGACATCAAAATACCTCGAGAGCATTTTGAAAGCATAAGGAACCGTCTGTATGGTATTTTGATGTCATGCACCGATGTGATGTCAAGCACACAGCAGCGGCGGCGGCAACAACAATACTACAGCGAGAATAAAAGTTATGCCTTCTTTCTTTGCGTGAACACTCGGCGGCGTTATGCAAATCTTCCCACATCGTGACGTAGATATGTGGGGGCGTGTTAGAACGAGCCATTTTAGGTTGGCGTGGCTGACTCTAAACTTTTATAAAGAATATCTCTTTGGATTTGAGACTTTAGTCTTTGCAACTTTACAGATCTTCTTTATGCACCAAGAGCTTGTAACACTTCAAAGAGAAAGGAAAAATTGAAATCGCATCATATGACCCCTTTAAACATGCACTAATATGTAATAATATCCCTTTCTCTGCAGTCAACGTCAGGAGGCCTGTACAAAGAAGATGACTATGTTATCATGACAACTGCGGAAAAAGAAAAGTACAAATGTTTATTGCCATCTTTGTCCGGCAACCAGGAGGTGTGGTTATGCATGGCCAGTTTTTTAGTTATTATTATCTTGAGCCATTCTGTGTATCGTTTTGTTCAGTTTTATTTGATCAGTTTACTGTCCGTCTCATTTTTGAAGGATGACGTGAAGGAGTATGATGGACCGAGTCCAGCTGAGCTTCTGGAGCCGTTATTCAAACAGAGCAGCTGCTCCTACAGAGTGAGTTTCATGTCTCAGTTTCTGTTTATAGTTTAATAAACACGGCCATATGAATTGCTTTTATTACAACTGTGACAGATCGAGTCATACTGGACATATGAAGTGTGCCACGGGAAGCATGTACGGCAGTACCATGAGGACAAGGAGACAGGGCAGGTAAAATCACTGGTTATGATGTTTGCTGTTAAAGAACATGACAGATCCTTATTTATAGCGTTCCTTCTATTTTATTAGAAATGCATACAGTACTAAGAAGTTTGGGATTGGTAAGATTTGGCAATGTTTTTGAAAGACGTCTCTTATACTCACCAAGGCTGTATTTATTTGTTTAAAAATACAGTAAAAACAGTAATGGTAAAATATCATTACTTAATAATTAATTAATTAAAAAAAAAAACTGATTTCAATGTAAATATTTATTTCTGCGATGGTAAAGCTGAATTCTCAGCAGCCATTACTCCAGTCTTCAGTGTCACCTGATCTATTAAATACATCCTTACTGAATAAAAGTAATAATTTCTTTTAAAAAAATCTTACCGATCCCAAACATTAGTGTATGTGGATGAATTATATTAAGATATTTCTAAGTAATATAATAATTTCAATGGTCTCATTTGTCAATGGTTCCTCAGAAGATCAACATTCAGGAATACTATCTGGGTACCATGAAAAAAGGGAGTGCAGGTTGGTTCATTTTTAAGCTTAAGTTTTTCTAATTATTTCTTTACATATTCTAGTAAAGTATTAAATATTTGATCAATATATTATCTGCTCCTCAGAATCAGAAATGGAAAAATCCAGTGACTCTGAATCAGAAAGATCAAACACCAACACACAGGTTTGTAGCTGTTAAATATAAAGGTAGGAAAAGTGTGTCACCTGAGGATGTTTTTAAAACTCTCTGTGTTCCCAGGTGCCAACAAAGAATATAGAGGGTCAGCTGACACCATACTATCCCGTAGAGATGGGACATGGGACTGAATGCTCTCTGAAACAGAATAACCCTCGCTGTACCACAGTGCTGTACGTCTGCCACCCGGAGGCAAAACATGAGATCCTCACGATCGCTGAGGTCACCACCTGTCAGTATGAAGTAGTGGTGCTCACACCCCTCCTCTGTCCACACCCGAAATACAGGTACATACACAAACGCATTCAAAGTCAATTTCCATTTTTAGTCCTTTTTAATCCTTTGTGACAGAATCCAGCCCATCTTTCCTCAGGTTCAAGTTGTCCCCAGTGAATGACATCTTTTGCCAAGCTCTGGGTGGCTCCCCTCTCAGACCTCAGAGTCTGTCCCAGCTGGATCGTGAGCAGGAAGAGCTGCTCAAACCACCATTCAGCTCAAGTGGCGAAAGAGATCCGAGAAGATCCAGGGTGAGTACGCATCTGCCCTTTATCTTCTGCATTCACACTAACCTACTTAGGGATAAGGGGCGATAACGAATAACTGCTGCAAAAAATATTTCTGAAAAGTATATAAAAATGTATTGTAAAAATGTAATCCCTCTGTCTCCCTTGCTAAGGAGGATACATCTCCAGTGAAAGAAGAGGCATATACCTCTACCCATAAGCCCCTGACAGTGGGCGGGCAAGCCCAGGTCACCGTTGGCACCACCCACATCTCCCATCTGACTGATGAACAGCTGATCAACGAGTTTCTGAGTGGCTCATACTGTCTGCATGGGGTGAGGATGGATGGATGTTTTTCTTCTATAATTATAGATCTTTAAGTTTAACATATGTTTGTTTCTGTCTAGGGCGTTGGATGGTGGAAGTATGAATTTTGTTACGGAAAGCATGTCCACCAGTATCATTGTTTGATAAAGAAATCAAGTTAAGTTGCTTAACTGCATTGTTTCCAAGCATTATGCTGACCATCTGCTTAGCGGCTGGTAAAATCAAGTCTTCAAGTGTGGGGCTTTCCAGATGTAGCTATCAGTCTTGATACCTCATATGATGCTGTCACTGCCTTTTCCTTTTCGCCACCCGTCACACAGGTTGACTCGATCACTTTTTTACGTTGCTGGTAATCTTTCAATTTATTTAAAAAAAATTCTCGAGGCTTGCTGGCAAACGACCCATGTTTTGTTTCGAGGTGACGGCGTAACTTGCATGGTTTCAGTGCCTCATTAGAAAGGGTCTCTGAGCATAGCACACAGACAGGTGTGGGGTTGTCAGGTTGGACCAACACTCGTAAACACTCGTTGACGGTTAATTGTGACTGAATTCCTACTAAGCAACCAACGTCAGTTTGAAAATAAGCAATGTATCTCACCTCGCTATAATGGGGAAAAAAATGTTTTATGTGATTTTAATTTGTGTAAAAATGGGTTCTAATCACATTTTAGAACAATTAGAATATTTTAATTATTTTAATATTTTGATTTGGCCTAGCCACGGCCCCCCTGCAATACCGCTACGGCCCACCGGGGGGCCGCGGCCCACAGTTTGGGAAGCACTGCTTTAGAACATATAATAATTCCCAGTATAGTGTAAAGGTCTGGATTATATGATAGGTGCTAAATTGCATTTTGTGCATTTGGTTGAAGGATAAAGAACAAAAAAAAAAAAAAAAACACAAACAAAACCAAATTAAACCCTGCGGGTCGTGACGATACATTGATGTGTAAAGACACGTTTCAGCAAAAACTGAATAGTATTTATATAGTTTTTTACCTCTGATTCACGCAATGTCCAAACTGTCCTGAGCGGGTTCTCAACAGCATTCAACGGATCGCAGACTTAAGTGCATTACCTCCACCTATCTCTCAAATGGACCATTGACACTCCCAATTGAGATTGTAGATAGCATGTCAATGGTCCATTTGAGCGATAGGTGGCGGTAATGCACTTATAAGTCTGCGATCCGCCGTAAAGCAAGACGACGACGACGCCTCACGCGCAGGCTGAAGAAGATGCGATCGCACTCAGGACAGTTCAGACATTGCGGTGAAAATCAGAGGTTAAAAACAATATACCGTTCTGTTTCTTGCAGACCGATCGTTTTGTGTCTTTACACATCAATGTATCATCACGAGCCGCAGGGTTTAATTTGGTTTTGTTTGTGTATGTTTTATGACTCGCAAAGCCGTGATTCCCATCCGCTTCAATTATAAGACTGACAGACTGCAACGGATTGAGTTAAAAATCTTCGTTTGTGTTCTACTGAAGAAACAAAGTCACCTACATCATGGATGCCCTGGGAGTAAGCAGATAAACATCAAATTTTTTGGGTGAACTATCTCTTTAATATGCAAAATGACTCAAAGTCTTGTTTTCTGAAAAATATCAAAATTGTATTATACTTAAGGAAAAATAATTTTTTTTGAGATGAGCATAAAATGACAATTTTTATTTCTTTTTTAAAAAATCTCTTTGTACCGGAAAACAAAACAAAAAGCAGAACAAGATTTTTTTTTTTTTTGCAGGGTAAATCTTTTTTCCCTATTTTTGTTGTAATGAAAATTAAACCAATATATTTTCCTAAACAGAATCATTAGGGCAGCACTATTCATTATAACAAAAAACATTTCTTACAGAGAATTTGAAATAAACATGCCTCTGCTAAACATTACAAATTGGCCAGAAGGGTCCATTTACCTACACTAGGTGGTGCTAGTGTCTGTTTTTGTTGATAGTTTTTTTTTTCAAGGGAATTAATAATGCTCTTACATAAGCATTAATAAGCTATGGATGGAGGTTTTTAAGGAATGTCAATACCTTAAAAGCGATGATTGACAAAGCAAACTACAGCTGTACATTATTAAATGTTTGGTCTCAAATGAAAGAAATGTCAACATACACTTGCAAAACATTTAATAAGTTTATATATAAAATGTAGGATGTTTCACAAATACATAATCTGCATGAAGACTATTACTGTACATGAAAATGCAATGTCAATGTAAAAATAGAACATCCTTCAGTCCAGGAAACATTGAGAATAACACTTTTGGGGAAAGCGACAATTAGCTAGTCCCATTTTCTTTTTATTGGATACTCGATGCATATTGTCTCTTGAGCAAAACACCACTAGCGAACCACAAGCAAACACTATAAATGCTCCCCTTTGGATGCTGAGCAAGTAGCATGATGTTCTACAGCTCAGACTGATGGGATGGGAATCTGATGAGCCGAGGTGCTGTCAAAGTCCTGCAGCGCCTCCTGGTGGGTGTGGTAGTGCATAGCCACGTAGCTTTTGGCAAAGGCTGTGGTTTGAGAGTTGACCGGCTGCAGGCTATTGGGGGAACTCGGGTCTGCCGACGGACTGCTGTTATAGATACTGTAGTAGGGTTCTATGCGCGTATTGATGGGTGTAGATGTGCTCGGGGGTCGGGGCTTGCGTCCAGCGGTGGCACAGGGACTAGGCATGCTGTCCCGGGAGTGACTGGGTCCGCAAGCCTGATCCACCAGCCTCCTTTGAGGCTTCGGCGAGAGCATGTATGCAGAGTTGGTCTCGTGGTGTGAGGACTTGTTACGGTTGACTTCCAGGCTTCCTTTGCCCATAGCGTGTAGGCGTGTCTTGTGCTTGCAGCACAGGAAGCCCAAGGTCAGCCACTGGAGGCAGCAGAGCACACGGCGGCGCAGACCCGCGCTATTGCGCGAGTATACAAACGGGTTGATTCCAGACTTCAGGAAGATAAGGGCAAATCCACAGAGCTCAAATTGGTAGTGGACAAAACTGCTCTCCGGTGACACCATATCCTGCGCCAAGGATATACCTAGTGGTAGACAGCACAGCAACACTGAGATGACGATCACTATGCATGTGACCACAGCCTTTGAATCCTTGGCTGTCGCCAGGTTAACTGTGGAGACCAACTGGCAGCAAGTCGCTCCAGTGGCAGCCCCGGGCACGAGGGGCTGGTTGGTTCTTCTGGTGAAGGAGTGCGTTTGGACATGTTGGAGCTTGTTGTAGGTCTGGTTGCGGTACAGCGAGGGCACCTGCACTGTACACTGCATGCCCTCAAAACCTGCGGCAATGAGCGGCGGATGAGAAGCAGGTGGACGTGTCACATCTACCGTGATGATGGGACACTTCCGAACCTGAGCGTTCTTCCTCAATGCCTGAGCGATCATGAGGTACGAGATTGACACCACACCTACACAGAAAGCAAAGTCTGCAATGTATACATACAATACTACCTTGGCCTTGTTGCCGGTAAGACCAAAGTGAGGCAGGCAAGGTCCGGAGCTCCTGGGATACGCTCGTAAGGTGACCAACGCCGCCAGCGTGAAACTGGTGGTCCATAATAGTGCCGTGAGAGCCAGAGTACAGGGGAATGAAGCCGTACGGTTGGGCTGCTGACCCAGGACCATGCGGAGCCGATGTAGGGCAATCACAGCCACCGTTTTGAGGGACATAATGATGAAGCCCGAGCTGGTGAGGTGGAAGGCAAAGCAGAAGCCCTTGGACACGCCACCACTAGTGTCTCCAGCGTCCAGAAAGAGCACCAGTGCAAACATGGGCGCGGTGACGCAGCAAATGAACAGGTCACAGAAGGACAGGTTGAGGATCATGAAGTCGAAGTTGGTGCGGAACTTGCGGAACGCCGGGTCGAAGAAGGACAAGAAGACCACCAAGTTTCCATAAGAACCGAGACAAAAGATGAGGACCAACAGGAGCGAGCAGGAGGCGAGGGTAGCCGTGTGGATTAAGGCCCAGCCGCTCACCGAAGCATACTGGCTCTGGGAGCTGTTAAAGCTCTGAGGTTTCGCAAACTCAGCCAGGTCCAAAGGCCAGGCAGTGCTGTTCATGGTACACATGGGGATGCAAAGTGGTCACAGCCTCAGAGTGTTGCCCATTTTGCCTTTAGGTCACCCAAGAGCGAGCTAATACTCCCATTGTGCACATGGTTCATGGTAGACCCTCTGGATTGCTGCAAGGACACAGGGATAAGAAATATTGATTAGTAACAGACAATATGATAATTGTAACACAATAAATTAACATAAGCAAGCCTAAAGGCTTTTTTTTAATCATTCGAAGGATTCGATTTATGTTATATCACTTGGTGCACAAATAATTTCTTTAATAACACAGAGCATCAGGATGACTATTGTACCTTGTATCATCCGTGCGCGCTCCTGTCATCCACAAATCTATCGATTAAGATGAATACGTGCCTGCAACATCTGCATAGTATCTGAAGGCTTTTCTTACCCGTTAACCTCTGTTAAGAATATTACTGCAGGTGAATGTGCGCCGACTATAAAATCGTGTCAAAAATGCATCCAGCCCCCATCTTTGAAAGAACATATACAATAAATCACACGCATCGTTAAAACAAACGTCCAGTAAATATCTAATAAATCGTTCAGTCTATTCACACAGTCGCCTATAATGCCTATAACCCTGCGGCATTCTTTCTCCACTTGCCGAAAAAAAGATGATTTTCTTACCATGGATTCCTTGTGTGCGCCTTTTTTACGCCGCCGCGTCTTCCACATTTGTACGAATTTCCAAAGTACATGAACGTTACAAACATCCTAGTTAGAGAAAGAGCATCACAACAAAAGATGAGAATGCAAAAGAGTTTATTTAATGCGCAGATGGAGAGTGGGCGCGCCTCACTGGAATCATAAGCCGTGAATGGACAGCAAGCGCGTGCCCGTGAGTACAGGACGCTCACTCAGGAAGCACAGAGTCTAATTTTGTTTGTGATTTAAATATTTGGTTATATTTATTGTTACAGTTCAAGCTATATGTATACTTATGTATATATATATAGTGAATAAAATACATTGTATTTTTTTCACTATATAAATATTTATACAATATTATGCACATTATGTGATGTATTATGTTTAACATTAATTGTAGTATATTTTTATTTAAATGAGCACACACACGCAAATACTTACACAAATTATGTGTGTGTGTGTGTGTATATATATATATATATATATATATAATGCATTTAAATATTTATATTTATCATTTAGGAAAGTGAATGTATATTTAACGTTTATATTACATCAAACTAATTGCTATATGTCGGTAGCAACATGGGAGAAGCACAAAAAAGATTTTACCTGCATACTTCGTCACACTTTATTACAAACATCCTTGTGTGTGTGTGTGTGTGTATATATATATATATATATATATATATATATATATATATATATAATGCATTTAAATATTTATATTTATCATTTAGGAAAGTGAATGTATATTTAACGTTTATATTACATCAAACTAATTGCTATATGTCGGTAGCAACATGGGAGAAGCACAAAAAAGATTTTACCTGCATACTTCGTCACACTTTATTACAAACATCCCTTGACTTTTGTCAAATATTTGTAAAAGGAATATCAAGAAAAAAGTAATCAATCAGTCAAGCATTTGCATAGCATTACAGCATTACTGTCTTTTAGTTTACCAACCAAAGTTGAACTACACATTGGCTTATGACATGATTTTGACACAGTGTGAATTATATTTAAAATGTTAAGCTTGCCAACAAACCACTGCATTAATATATGGTCTACAACTGTTGCTACTGATAGGTTCAGCAATGCTTGCTAACTGCAAGTCTCAATGACACTGTCTCCGCATTTGCTGACGGTTCCTTTAAAAATCTTCTGACACCAGGATATGAGAACACCTGGCTTAAAGCAAAAACTGCAAACACTAAACTAAATGCAAAGGTCAACTACAATTTTCAATTGAATAAATTAATAAATAATAAACATTTATTGACTGCAAAAATACTAATAGAGAAAAAGATGCATGAAGTGCAGGAAATCTCATGGACTACTATTTTGTAACACCATCCATTGTGATTATACTGAATTTTTTAGTTTAGTTCAGCTGTATTGGCAAGACAACTGAAGAATAGCATCACCAAATGATATATTCTTACACTCTTTCATTTATGTAGGCTTACATAACTGTACACATAACAACAAAATGCACACTGTCTCTATGAGGCAGGAGGAAATGTACAGTGCTACTATAAAAAAAAGAAAGAAAAGAAATGGGTACTTTTACCTCATACACATGTAACATTTACCAACATTACATGTGTACACATTTCAAACAGATTACTGCTAAAATTGTAAAATGCTAGTATTACAATAAATGCAGTGCAGAAAACTGCTTTATATTGGGCTATAACAATCCATACTGCACTCAAACAAGCGGAAACTGAAAACTATACAAGAACATTATAGATGCAGGTCAGCGATACCTGCAATAAAGTTCCCCTTAAATATTAAGTGTATTTAAAAATAATAATAAAAATAGAGTTTAGTAAAATATTCTAGTTATCTCATAACTAGATGATTGCATCTATTGCTACATAAACGGCGTTTTAATTTTCTGTCCTCTACAAACAATCCCAGACATTCAGAGCAAACAAAAATTCAGGTTTCAGTTAGCTTTGCCTTTTCCCTTCACCAGACAGTGACATCATTCTGAAAAACAGATCATAAGAAGAGTCTGAAGATAAAACACGAATAAGAAAACTTGTATCATATCATATATGGTATCAAAATTCATCAAGGTGGATGAAATGACCCCCCAAAAAAGATTTAATGATGAAATAAGTCTAAAAAAGATGTTAAATAAAAATCAACTGTTTTACCCAATATGTGTGTAACAGTATGTATTGTGTAGTATTGTACCGTAGTATTACTATTTTTATGATGTACAGAGTCGCTGCCTACAGTATATAAATCTTTCCAAATCGGTCATTTCATTTCAATTAGGATGCCGACTTAGAAAGCACCGTCTATGTAGGCAGCAGAAAGCAAATCATCTCACTAGGTTTTGGAAGTGAGCCTGTGTGTGTGTTTATAACAGACCTAAGCGTAGTAACAGGGGGAGACCAGCAGATCTGTGAGCACCAGCAGCTGGTCATCTGTGAACTTCTGCTTGTGTTCCTGCCAGTTATCATGATGAGTGCGACGGAAATCCGACAGGGTTTTCTTCACACTCATCTAGAGAAACAACAAATATTTATTTATATAAACAATCTTGTGAGTCACTCATTTATAGTAACAGGCTCTCGGTTTAGCTAGTATTCTCAGTATTGCAGTTGCTGGTCTGCCTTTGCCATCATGTTCAACTTCCAGAAATGTTTAAACATTTCATCTTTGCTCAGTCAATCCCTGGCCCCCTGCAGACTGCAATCAGCTGATCACTCCCAATCAACCCCCATTCTCTCCACAGCTAACAGCAGGAAAGGAGAAAGAGCTGTACCTCTATAGGCTGTGTGTCGTTGAGGTGGGCACTCAGGTCCATGAGGATCTGGGGCATCCACGTGGGCACATCATACGGGCTGGACAGGATGCAGGCACTCAGACCCAATACACCTGCATGCCGCCGCACCAGGTCTACACACACAGGAAAAATGAAAGATTCAAGTAGAGTTATTTAAGGTATATAAATATATCTAAAGTGAACACAGGTAAATTCATCCGAGTGACTACAACAGCCAAAGTTTACCTGAATTCACCCTAGATATAAAATCATTTATAAAAGCATGAGACAACAATTAACATCTGAAATCTATTTGACCAAAGTCATGATGTAAAATGAAAAACGTGTGTGTGTGTGTGTGTGTATATATATATATATATCTAAAATGAATTTGAAGCATAACATTGAAAGGTATGAAAAATTTTAATTCATTTTAAGATTTGCTAAAAATTACATTTAACAGTGTTTTCAAGATTAACTTTAAGCATTAGACTACAAAAGTAATTTAAATGTAAAACGTAGGAAAAATGAGCATGCACAATTAAATATCCAGTACTGGATTACATATACTATATACTGAACAACGGTTGCTCAATTTCTATAATATCTGCTCAAATTCTATAATATCTCTACTTAAATAATTTAAACTTTAGAACTTAAAAGCATTCAAATATTAATCAAATGTTTCCTGAGTATTCCTGATGATTTCTGAAGGATCACGTGACAATGAAGACTGGAGTAATGGCTCCTGAATATTTAGCATTGCCATCACAGAAATAAATATTTTAAAATATATTCAAATACAAAATTCTTTTAAATTGTAAATATATTTGACAATATTACTGTTTTTACTGTATTTTTGATCAACCTTGGTGAGTGTAAGAGACTGCATTCAAAAGCATAAAAAATTGCTGACCCAAGACTTAATGCATGTACTGTATACAGTATATGTCTGTGTGATCATTACCAGCAGAAGGGATCGTGTCCACCACTGAGCCCAGCTCTCTCCTCTTGCGCTTGGGCAGACGGGTTTTGCTCAGGGCCTCAAAATGGGCCTGCATGGGTTCGTCAATGCAGAGAAAATTACACTGCAGGAATCCACTTAAAGTGGTGGCTGCCATCTCCCTCACCTAAAAACATGAAGAGAGACAGACAGAGAGAGAGAAGGAAAGAAAGATCATTACAGAAGATTGTTACAGTTCAGGCTAATATCTTGTGGCCAAAGGTTCAGACGGTTTCTCTTTTCAGTTATCTAAAGCGTGGGAAGTGCAGAGCAGGGACAGACGGGGTCTTTTGTGTCACAACTTTTCTTTAAAGAAGAAGAATACAAGAAGTGTTGGAAATGTATGTAACATAGTAGAATGGTGCAATCTGCATCACAGAACAAAACACCATGTTCCAGAGCAGGACTCCAGTCAGGTTGAAATGGGCGAATAAGCAAATTTAGAGCTTATTACCATTGATGTGCTAAACAACTAGTGTGAACAACTAGTCATCTAACAGGTATGGTGGCCCAGTAGTGCATAACACAACAAAATCTCCAAAACAACAAAATCTCCACAACACAAGACAGGACTAATTTCTTTGTGTTGTGCTAATTTTGCTGTGTTGCGGCTTCTTTCCATTGCATTGTTCTAATTCCATTATGTTTCAGCTTGTTTCCATTGCTTTATGCTTATTTCGTTGTGTTGCGACTTATTTTCGTTGGGTTGTGCTAATTTTGTCGTGTTGTGCACTACTGGGCCACCGTAAACCGGTCTCAAAGAAGCCCTGTGTAATTAGGCAAAAAAATCCAGAGATATTAAAAATACACAGACAGCCATAAAAGCTGACTCAGCAATAGCAATTCTCTGTGCATGTCTATGAGAGTTTAGGACACGCATTTGTACTGACAAAGAAACGATGGCTATTGTTTTGTAGCTTCAAACTCTTCTGATCTTGCCCTGTGTGCTCTGATCTTTAACCTTGAAACAGTCACTGTCACGTTCTGATTGGCTAGTACTAATCAACCGAATGTCTGTATCACATCACAGAGGGTCGTATCGTATGCATCATGGAATCCAGAGTGCTTTTATTTAATAGGCTGAATTAAAGGGTGTAATTTTCTTCCACTCATAACCCTATTCTTTTCCCCCTTTAGCCTCTTCTCTCTCTGTTTGCAGTCCTCTCCTCTGAAAATTTGAACATCTATCACCATGGAAACAGAATATTGCTGCAGCTAGGAGTTGCTATGGTAACAGTAAGAGGGATCGAAGGATAGAGAGCATGTGTGTGTGAGAGGGAGAGAGAGAGAGAGAGTAAAGGAAAACAAGGGAGCGCTACATCATTGAAAAGACAGAATGGAGAAAGAGACTCTTTCACCACGGAGGCTTACGTAATTGGCTTTCGACACATTTAACCTTAGCGATTATACTAAAACACACGCATGAATTTAGATATACTGAAGATATATAATCTTGAACAGTAATCAGGCTTAATTCAAGTGAAAAATGTCTTAAACATGCAAATACCTGCACACATTATGAGAGTGAAATAATTATATGTGAATATGGCCTGTGCATTTATGTTATGCATAATAAGGGCCAACTATGTGGAATATATATATTTTTCTTCAAAAAATACATTAACTACAGAAACTTAATTTCCATAGTTTGGAAAAAAAAACACTATGCAAGTCAATAGGGACCAACTGAAGGTGAACTATTCCTTTAATATTTTTTAAAATGTAAGTTGTTAATGTGATGGCAAAGCTGAATTTCCATTATTCAGAAATCATTCCATTATGCTGATTTGGTTCTTGTTAAAAATCAATTAAAAATTTTTTTTTGTGCTGCTTAATAATTTTGTACAAACTTTGATGGATTTTTTATGATTCTCTGATGAATATAAAGTTCAAAAGAACAGCATTTATTTGAAATAGAAATCTTTTGTAACATTATAAATATTTTGCTGTCACTTAAATGTAAAAGGTAGAGTAGCACATTTTAAAAGGTCCACACTAGAGAAATGTTTTTTAAAAAAAATGTATGAAGGAACGAATGAATGAATGAATGAATGATGAATAAATAAATAGGTAGGTTGAGAGGTAAATGTAAAGTTAGGGTAAAAATAGGGTAAAATAATGTAATTAAATGATAAATTCTAATAAAATTAATACATAAACCATTTTAAATAAGTACAAATGTGCAATGCCAATTTATCTCACATTTTTAGTGCATGTTAACATGGTTAAAATGCTTTGCTTCATATGAGAGAAACTTTGAAAAGTATTCCAACTGCCAAAAAAATGCCAACTCTTTCACTTTGCTATCAAGATGAATGAAGTCTTCATTGGTGAGTTAGTGATTCATTTTATTCTAATGCTCTGCTGATTGGCTGTCATAGTTAAAATGCTGTTCATAAAGTTCATCCATTTAATTTTTGAATTTTATTTGATTGAAGAACACAAATAATTCATAATACTCAGTATAAAATTACTAGGCAAGTCTGTACTCTCATATTAGGCATGGCAGATGATTGGTTGGGCCCCATAGAAATAAAGAGCCATAGACACCCCTAGTCCTCAGAAACTGCGAAACAAACCTTTATACATGTGCATATATCAGTGTACAAGTTTATTCACACACCTCAAGTTGTTCATCCTCCAGCAGGCTCAGTACTAGTGCTCTCACGTCACTGACGGCCTTGGTATCGCTGAGGAAGGTGAAAAGATTGTAGAAAACCATTATCTGCAGGAAGGTGAGAACGGTGTAACGTGCGTGCCATGAGCTGCTCCTTGAAATCTGAAACAAACAGTACCATCTGCTGGTCAGATTACACATTAAACCCTGGCATTCATACATAACTCACACTAAAAGCATATTTAGTGTCTGTGTGTGTGTGCATTATGGGCATTGGAAAGTCACCTCCTCAAGTGCACTGAGGACTTGTGGGATCTGTTCGGAGTACAGCAGTCCCTGGGACATGAGAGACAAACATGTCTTAGCATCTCTCTTCATCTCATCATAGCTGTCGTCATTCTCCACAGGAGCAATCTAGAAAGAGAGATAGAGACAGACTCAAAAATACAAGATTGTAGACAGTTAACTAAATTACAGACAAAATTGGGACTCACTTTAAAGAGTAGAGGGAGGAGACGAAGCTGTTCTGGGACCACAGAAGAGAAGGAGCGTCCAGCACTGGTCATCAACCACTTCAATACTATCACAAATACAAAAATATTTTTAAAATACCACTTCTGCACACTCAAACATTCACATTCACACACAAAATACACACCAGTTTTGAGTAATTTGATGGCTTGTGTCCTCTCGTCTTGATCTCCCTCTGTGTTCTCCTCTACCACGTGGTTCTGGATCTCCTCCTCGCCCTCTGTTAAAGGCTTGAGCCTGGCCAGCACACGCTCCGTGAACTCTGCGATGCGCGGCGATGTGGTGGGCTGAGTGTGTGGCAGGTTCACGTCGATCATGAAGATGTAGGTGAGCACACTGAGAGACAGGACGAGAAGAGAGAAAGAATGAATGGCAGTTGCTGAGACCAAAGCAAACAATGACTTTGAAAAGACTGAAGGTGAAGAAAATACATATAATGTTGACTTGATTTTTGCATTCAAGTACATACCTGCCAATGCGTTCGCGTACATTCTTGTAGACCTGAGTGAGTTTGGGTTCTAGGTACTGTAGTAACCTGTGAAGCAACTCTGGAACTCTCCATTCCTGCTGAGCAAGACCTCCCTGCAGCACATACAGACGGCTGAAAAAGAGAGATGACGTTGCATCCAATTGAAATCCAAACTTAGACATTCAGCATTTCCCCTTTTTAATCCATTCAGCTTTCAAAAGAGGAAGTATGTGGTAGTGATGTCATACCAGGCATCCACAAATGAGCCTCCTTCTCCTGTGACCGGAGATTCCATCAGCATCTCAAACAGCCAGTGCAGCTTTCGTGGGTCTCGGCTCTCCTGTACAACACATATATTTGTACACAAGCAATATTTTTGGGATCATATTAAAGAATATACTGTTCTAATATACTGTTTAAGAGCTTTAGGTCTGTAAGATTTTTTCAAATGCTTTTGAAAGACATCTCTTATGCTCACCAAGGCGGCATTTATTTGATCAAAAATACAGCAAAAACATTAATACTGGTAAATATTATTTTAATTTAAAATAGAAAACCGTTATTTTAATCTACATATGGTAAAATTTATATTCAGATGATGGTAAAGCAAATTTTTCAGCACTCAATACACCAGTCTCCAGTGTCACACGATCATACAGAAATCATTCTAATATGCCGCCGATTTGGTGCTCAAGAAACATTTTCAGGATTCTTTGATGAATAGAAAGCTCTAAAGAGTAGCATTTATTTGAATTGCTGATTACAAATGCCTTTACTGTGACTTCAGTATTGGTTTTTAACTTAAACATTCACTAACCCCAATCTTTTGAATGTTAATGTATATTAGCTGATTTTCCCTCAGATTTCAGTCATTATAAGAATGTGAGATTTAAATTGAATCCACACGGCATATGTATATAACAGTGTATGTTTTTTCTTGAAAATATTTGTGCAAAAACTTAACAATATGAGGCATACAGATCTACATCTTACTAAAAGATGAGTTTGTGCTCTAAAAAGAGTGACAAAGGTGTCCTTACGCAGGCAGTGGCGATACAGGTGCCCCAGTCTGCATACGTCTCAATGGTGATATTGGAAAGAGCTTTACGGAGGAGTGGACACAGCAGAGCCCACAGTTTTTCCACCTGTAACAAACGCATACAAACTTGAACACATCATTCTGCACCAAATGGTGTGTAACAGTGATGTTGAGGACTCAAATCCTCTTAACTTTGTTATACTACACCTATATTTTATGCATGTGTGCTAATACCTTGCTGTAGCTCCAGTGTTTGGAACCCCTGATGAGTCCAGAGATGATCTCTGCCACACAGCGCTGGGTGCTCTCATGGGAATCTGCAACCAGACGCTCCATATGAGGCTTCAGCAGAGGCAGGAAGGCATCATCAAAGTTCCGAAAAATACCCTTTGACAACACAAGACGATGTTTATGATGCAGTCCATTTTTGTTGATTTTTGGCTAATTGACTAGGTGTCAGACATGGAACTGGTTGTCAAACTGGTTTAAACAAGCCTGAAGACCTGGCTCATAAACTTCTACAGTCTATAATCAACATTTTAATGGGTTTGAGAAACAGACTGCAGAGGCACATCTAAAGACTCTCACCTTAAAGAGGCAAAATCGTCGTGGGCTGAATTTATCTTTCCCCTTTCTGTCCTCCAGAGACAAATACTGGATGAACTGATCTATGAACTGCTGGTCTGAGAAATGATCGTATATGATCTGTTCACTCTACAACACAGAAAACAGGCATGAACAAACTAAAAACGACTGAAATAAAATTGAGTTTCCTGCTTACATTTTTCTCCTGTGAAATAGACTTTATAATTTCCTATAATTTGTCTAGAATTTTGGAAGAAATCACAATATTTCTCATTAAATTCTTCCAAAGCCAAATTATTTGGCTTTTACAATATTTTTTAATTATTTGATACAATTCAGGACTGCAACAAATGATTATTTTAATAATTAATAATCTAATGATTATTAGAATGATTAAACGACTAATCGCTGATTATTTCACTGATTAATCAGTAGACTTTGATTCATTCAGCTTTTGCAATTAGTTAAAATATTGAGTTAACTTAATAAAACAAGGCGATCACTTCAGCTTTTGAAAATGTCAAGTTGTTCTGAAGTGGTTGGGTTTAGATGTCTTTTGGTTTGAATATTTGCATACCTCATTCATCTCTTCTCTTGTTTTGCCCTGTTTGGGCTGTTCCTCAAGAGGGGCATAGAGCAGCAGCTTCCTAAAAAAAGAAATAACCATGAAATAAAACTAATTTTGTATTGATCGTCAATCAAATGCTAAATATACACTGTTGTTCAAAAGTTTGATTTTCAGCAGCCGTTACTCTAGTCTTCAGTGTTACAATCCTTTCTTAACAATAACACATAATAATTTCTTGTTAATATCAAACAGCATGTGTACCGTGGCCATGTGGAATAGCCCCAGTGGGTTTTCTCAATGAAGCAGCATTCATTCCAGTCCTGCTGGGAGCGTGGCAACCTGCTGCTGTCATACCGCAGCCACTGGTTATCAGGCCTGTCTCCCGCCAGCAGAGAGCTTAGAGCTTTACCACCACCTACATGAAGAACAGGAAGAAATATAACACAAATCTCAGACATTCTTTGATATGTGTCCATTTACTGAGACCATATAGTCATTTATTACTGTACAGTTAGTGTTCTCACATGACTGCAGCGAGGTTTTGAGCTCAGATATGTCGTAGGGATTCACTGCCACTTTCTTGTGAGGTCTCTTGAGCTGCTTTAGAATGCCACTCACTGCTGATATCGCACCCTGAAAAATAAATAGCAGATGCCAGAATGAAGTGTCTTTTTGTGTAGCTTTCCTTACAGAAATGTTTATAGGTATAATTGTGACAGAATGCACACAAACACACATTGCGAACTAAGAGCGAGTCATGGTTCAGGCTCTCAACGAAAAAGAGGACTGCAGAGGAAGGCAAGGGGTGGTCATCTCTCAGCATCAGAGAGAGGAAGCCGATAGCTATCTGCTCAAACTTCCAGGGCCTGCCAAATAAACAAGCATATGACCAATGAAGTTCCATTACTTTACCATCCAGACATTTGCTGTGCAGTCTAACCAGACACAATGAGTAGACATACAAGTTTCGGTCGTAAAGGCTGTCCAAAAGATCCACCACTAGCTTCTCATACTTCCTGTTAGGATTGATTAAAAAAAAAAAAACTAAATTTTTGTGTATATCCACTGCTTAATGGGATATAAATTGGAAAGCATATTTGTATGTAGTTTTTTTTTTGTATTTACTTACTGCACTGAGTCTTTGTTTTTCTGTTCCTGTCTCTTTCTTCCCTCCAGTTCCTCCTGTTCAGAGGCGGCACATGGAGTCGGTTCTGGGTTACTGGATTTCATCATTTTTAGAGCAACCTCCACACAGCTCTCCGGGATCTGAATATGAAACAAAAAAGAACAGTGTAAAGACAAATGTCACAATACAAATACCTTTTCTTTTGTTATTGCTGCAGTTAGCATAGAAAGAAAAAGATGACGCTGGTGTGCGATGCCAATAAACACATTAGCAAAAATCATTTTCACTTTATATTATCATGTTAATACTTTAAATTATGAACGAAGGCTTTCGGTTTACTTAAAGCTGAAGTGTGTCATTTTTTTCTGACGTTTAGTAGATGTTTCTCCCTCATTTAGGCTACTATCTACTGAACTCACAGAAAAGTCAATTCCGATGGTCTCGTACTGGCGGTGGATTTTGTCAGCCAAATCATCAAAGAGCCGGACGACTGAAGACTCCTCTAGAGACATTGAGGGGCTCATACCAGAACGCAAAATGGCAGGCCATGTGAGAGCAATGCAGTCCCAGTACTGCAGGTTAGCAAGACAGATCCCAGAGTGGTTCCCAAACAGACAGTACAAGGCACCCTGGAGAAGAGTAAAAAAGACATAGACAACATATGATCCTACTCAATTTTCAAAAGCTTGTCATATGTCATGTCATATGTCAGAATGATCAATAGAGAGAGAAAGATTCTTAGTTTCTTTCAGTGTATATTTAACCCAAACTGTGTAAGACCTACTTTGAATTGCTGCTGGGTGACGTCAGTGCGGTCTGGGTCCAGATACTCCAGCACCGCAGGGATGACGTCTCTGCAGCATAAGCTGTAGGTTCCCAGTGCTGTGAACAGCACGTTCTGAGCTTTACTCCTCACCTGAGGTAAAATATGGACTGTTAATGATGTATTCATTGCTTTTGTGTGTGAATACATATGTATGTTTGTGTATATGGCCTTGTCATACCTGACTGTACCTGCTGGTGGACAGTCTAAGCAGGTCATTTATCAAGTCCTGATGAACACTCCTGTAGCAACATCCATCCTTGGTCAGATTTCTTAACTGAAACACACAGGCACAAAACACACTCAAAACGACTGTAATCATTACAAAACATTCCGAAGAGCCCCAAAATATGTATTCTCGTTTTATGATTATGATCCCTAACCCTAACCCATCTCATGAAAACCTGTTCAGGTCAATAATTTTACCCTAAAATCAAACTAATTTTAGAGAAAACTTTCATGACACATTCCACACAGTCTTAATTTTCTTTATTCAATTTATTATAGGATATATATGGAAGCCCGTTTCCACTGAATAAAAAAAAAAAGAAAAAGGTTATTGCGACTTTTTATCTTACAATTCTGACTTTTTTTCCACAGAATTGTGAGATATAACCTCGCAATTGCGAGTTATAAAGTCAGAATTGCGTGATAGCCAATAAACTCACAATTGCGAGTCAAAGTCAATTTTGAGGGGGGGGGGGGGGGGGGGA